TAAAATAATTAATCTAACAATATTATTATTATATTAAATAAAACATTGAAATTCAGAATTAGAATTTTAAAAGGAAATAATTAATATATTTGTATGTGATAATAAATTTAACAATATATTTTAAATTTATTAAATAATATATTTAGTATTAATTAAGTTACACTTAAAAAAATCAAATTTTATAAATTTAAATTACTTATCTAAATAAAACAAAAAATTTAAAATGAAAAAAAGTTCAAACTTAAAGTTAAAAATTATAAAATTTCCTATTGAAACACATGATAAAGGTAGGCATGGATTGAATTTAAATTTCAATGTTTAAATGAATTAAATTTAAATTTTCCTATTTAAGTTTAATTAAATGAATTGAATTAAAAATTCATGCTTATTTAATAAAATAAAATTGGATTAAATTTAATTTTTTAAATCAAGATTAATTAAGATGATATTTAAAGCATGTTATCAATGAATAAATTACTACCAAAAATTTAGTCATTGCTTGTAAAAAAAGTAAAAAATTATTTTAATTTCTAAGAAAATGATTTGTTATAAAAAATTGTAAAAATATTTTGATGAAATATGAGAATTTTAATACAATTCCAATAATAATTCTTACAATATTCATTTTGAAAAGTGAAAATATGTTTATTGTTAGTCCATGCATTATAAAAAAGAACTTACCAGCTAAAGTAAATGAGGTCTGCATCGATCTATTAATAATGGTTTTAGTTTGATCTTATTCGTTAAAAAGGACAATTTATTTGATAGTAAAGTAATGATGCAGGAAGAAAGATATATAGTAGAAAAGTAATGTAGGGCGATAAAGTTGGATGAGTATTGTGGGAGATGGGAGGCTATAGCCCTGGGAGAAGGGGATTTAGGAACGAAAGAGACAGGGCAATCGTGCAAAACTGCATTATGTAACAATGAAACTTTTGCTGTACTGCATTCAAAACAACGTTGTGGGAGTGGGACAAGTCAGAGAGTGAAAGGTCATGGATCCATAGGCCATGCTTCAAAACTTAATTTGCAACTTTTAGGTGTTGAAAATGGACACCTTTGATTAATTCCCCCATCAGTAGTTGAATAATTTGTTAGACACTGAAAACTGAAATGACTTGGGGTGTTAATTGCCCGGTCGGTCACCAACGAGATTACTCCCGACATAATCCCTTCTACATGTGTAATTGCCATCTCTTCAACTTCAACCCTATAATGTTAAAATGTAAAATATATTTTTTCTTTTCTTTTGATATAGGAATCCCCTTCTTGTAGGACACAAGGCACCCGCAAGCATCTATCTTTGTTGCCTAGAGAACCCCTTTATGTGACTTAATTTTTTGTACGCATTAGACAATATGTTATGCATAGAATAGAGATCCCATCAGTAGTGCATGGCATGGCTGGCTAGATGGTGCATATGTATGGTGGTATCTAGTTGTGCTCATCAATCAAGGGCAACAACTTTATTCTGAGATCAGTATCATTCCAGAATCACACAAGGACCAGCCCTAGTCAAATTGTCTTGACCATTGATTAAGAGTCCCCTTCACCTTTTTGTCCTACATGATATTGGTAAGGTTGATAAATAATAATGTCTAATATGTGGTTAGAAATATGATGGTCTGGTTGATAATGATAATAATAATGTATTTTAAATATGTGGTTAAAAACAGGATCTTTGAATTTGTGTTGTACGAAAAAACATCTTTAAATTAATCTCCGAATTAGTCTCTAATTTTGTACAAATGACCTAATCTATATGAAAAATGAGAAGTCTCACTCAGCTTTTCGTCCAATGTGGCTGCCCCTATTGCTTTCTGGTTTGGGTGAGGTGTATGTGCCAACATATCTTTCCCTTTACTCTCTCTACCATCTTTCATCTTGTGGGGTCTCCTTGTCTCTCAAAGTTATAGACATGTTCTTACAAGAAGTTGAAAAGGGAAAACACATCAACCGCACCAAGTGCGAAAGCCCAAGTTCCATTCCATCCACCTTAACTTTCCATGGCAATTAGCTGCTGTCTCTGCTTACACTCACCCTTAATATTTGTTTTCTTCTTTCTTTTCTCTCTTGTTTGTTTCTGCAATGGATATATACTATTCTTTTTGCTTCTTTCTATGGACATCTATCAGAATCACTTTTTCTTTTAAGAGAATCGCCTGTCCTATGTGCTTGTCTACAATATTGACATTTTCACGCACTGACACAGCGTTGTTCTATGTAAAAGACATTACACAAAAATACACAGATATTCATCTGCCACTTTTCAGGAAACTAATTTTCCTTCTTTTTAATTCAACGGTCTGAACTCAATGATGTCGATAACTTCATCGTTACATCTAAAATATATGTACCAATAGTTACGTAATAATTAGTCCTCGTTCAGTATTACATTAATACAGCACATTTGTATATCAGTATATGTAATCATTTACTATCATGCAAGTAGTTAATACGATAATGCAGTTGTGTCAATTCCTACCCTACCATGGACCTTTTTATGGCATAAAGTAAGAAAATTTATACGGTAACAGATATAGATTTGTGTTTTCTTCGCAACAGCTAGCATTGTTGAACTGCATGGACTTTGTCCCAAAAAAAAAAAAAAAAAAAAAGTTTCTGCTGGCTACTTTATATGCTGTAATGCATTTATGAGTAATCTAGTTCATTTGCACCATATATATGTATATATAATAAAAGCACTATAGTACTTTGTAGTTGATGAAAGCGAAAAAGCCTATTGCAATATTATAATGGCATTATGTTGGGTTTTATTAGGCAAAAGGCAAATGGGTCATGAAATGCAAAAACTAAAAGATATATATAATTTCACTTAACTCTGTAGTTGATGATGGGATGAGTACCAACGTACACACAGATCTGCTGCTTATCAGTCTCACTCACCTCCATGAAGTTTGTTTATGATTTGTCTTCTTTGTTAGGTACCTAATCCCATGAGATAATAACTTATTTAAAGCTAGTTGAGGGAACAGGGTCAATTTACTAGGTAAAGTGATGGAGGGAACCGGGTATTGATTATAGAAGGTGCTCTAACTTTGGAAACTTTCTTCCTATCGAATTGAATAAAAAAAGCATGGTGCCAATCATGATTTCAATGCCTATTCCCCTATACAATTAATGGAATGGTGTAATTCAATTAAGAAACAAGAAGAGCTTGATAAGGACTTCAAGTATTAAATTAAGAGGAAGAAAGTGTATGTGAATCTTAGTTGTGACATTTGATACAAGAACATATCAATACGTTTGCATGAATTATGTATACAGTCATTGTTTTGTATGAGCATAGGAAGTATGACTTCTAATATTACTTTCATCTTATTTATACGATTTTTAACTAAATTTATAAGAGTTCATAAAATAAATCTATTTATTTAATGATATTAATTTTGTTTATAATTTATATATTTTTTAAATTACTTTCAAGGCTATTGAAAATAGTCATTTTTTTCTTTAATTACAAATTACATGACTAAAATATATAGTATTGACTGAATTTTTGAGATATGACAGGTTATATATGCATTCATGATTTTGACCGTTTATTTTTTTTAATCTATTTTAAAATATTTTATTGTTTGTAAATATGAAAATCTTCAAATTTAATTTTAGAATTCCAAAATATATTTTTTTAATTATCAATGAAAAAAATAAAATACTATATATATATATATATTATCCAAAATTATTAAAAACTTAAACATACTAATTTTGCACTACAAAATTTTATAAATTATAAGTGAAACCCAAAAAAAAGTTATTTTTTAATAAATTTTAGTTAATACTAAATAATATGTAAAAAAATCTTTATATAAAATCTTTTTAAAAAATTTGACTTTCCACTATAAGATCCTTTTTAAAATCTCTCTCTCTCTCTCTCTCTCTCTCTCTCTCTCTCTCTCTCTCATATATATATATATATATATATATATATATATATATATATATATATATATAATGTTCCTTATTTATTACTTACCTTGTTCTTAGTCCATATAGCAATGGATACTAAATTAATAAAATAGACAGAGATTGCATTATCATTCCTCTTCACACGTTAATTAATTAGATAGAAAAAATTGAGACGACAATCAATTTATGAATTTTTTTGAAAAAGAATAATATATTTGTTACCAGATTTAGAAATACTAATTAAACTAAACAATATTCTAGTTTATTATTAATTAGGCAAAGATTAAATTTAAATACAGATCTTCAAGTGTTTTATTATTGTTTTATAGTCAAATTGTCAACATAAATTATCATTGTGAGACTTCAGTTGTGACTCTTTACACAACTTCAGTTATGATTCAACACTAAAAATTATCTTTAAAAAGGAATTAATAGTATTATGTAAAACATCGTATCTTTTGCTGAGTTCGAAAGTCCAATGATAGTACAATTAAATCGTTCTGTTTGATATCAAATATAAATAAAAATATATATTTTGAATGTTGCTCTCAAATATAAAGAGTTTCCAATTAAGTTTATCTCTGAAATTATTCTAAAAATAATTTTTATGTTGACTATCTTTTATTTTATTAAGATTTCACTAGTGGAAAAATAGCATTCTATGACGAGTTTTTATCACTGGTCGTAATCCACCCGTCATAGTATGTAGCGCGGTGGCAATTTTGTAATAAAATCATAAACTTTCGGGTAAATTTTAACCGACATAGTAAGTGGAAAGTTCACTTTCTATGTTGGGTGAAACTTAACCGACATAGAAAGTTCGGTTAAGTTTTACCCGACATATGTCGGTTAAAATTTACTCGACATAGAAAGTGTATTTTCTTCTGTTTTACACCTGTTTCGGCGTTCCATTTCATCACTTCACCCATAGCAGAGCTCCTCGTTCTCTCTGTCTCTTCTATGAACGTGATCGCCTTTCTACGTTTCTCCCCACCCACCTCTGCTCGTTACGGTGCATGCATTCTAGAAACATTAACATCAACAGAGTTGGCTCATCACGAGGTAACATGTCAAATATGCCTCTAACTATCCCAGGTTTTCCGCACCCTGATATTAATAACGAGCGCGAGGTCGAGGTCCTGCAGTTTGTTGAGGTTCCCAAGAGAAGTTGGAATGACGCCAACGAGGTTGCATTGGGTAAGCCAGAGAACCTCGAGGTTGGTAAGGTTCCCAAGCTCTAGAGGGATCCGACCCGGGAAGAAGGGGTTGTAAGAGAGGTTGAGCATTTTCAAAGAGGATACATTGCCCAAGGAGGGGGGGATGGTGCCTTCTAGAAGATTGGAGACGAGGGAGAGGACTTGGAGGTTCTGGAAGGTTCCGAAGGAGTCCGGGATGGGGCCGGAGAAGTTGTTGCCGGTGAGGTCGAGGTAGCGGAGGTTGGGGAGGAGCGGGAGCGTGGCGGGGAGGAGACCGGTGAGGAGGTTCCGGGAGAGGTCGAGGTGGCGGAGATTGCGGCAGAGGGAGATGTCGAGAGGGAGCGTTTGGTTGATGGAGTTGTTTAAGAGGTTTATGGAAAGGAGGTTGGGGAGACGACGGAGAACGTTGACGAGGAATGGGTCTCCGATGTTGGTGTCCAACAGGTCCAATCGTCGTTACGAGTATGGGTTGCCGGCACAGTCACTCCATACCGGTTGCAAGGGTCGGCGTCCCTTGAGTTCCACGACGAGAGAGACGCGTCTGGGTCGTCGAGAGAGAGCTTGAATTTACTTTCTACGGCGGTTCTTAGGAATCGACGTAGAAAGACTTATTTTTCATGTCGTCGCTTTAACCGATGTAGAAAGCTCATTTTAACCGATGTAAAAAGCCTTTTTTGTAGTAGTGTTTTTTCTTAAACTCCCTCCCTCTAAAATTAGTAAAAAAAAAAAAAAAAACTTAAGATGTCACAATTAATTAATTACATTAATTAATGAATTGTAGTTGGTAAAATGATGAGTAATATGTATCTGGGTTCCCAAGTAGTCACCCACCTTTGATGTCAAAGATTGGCGTGCGACGCATGGACTAGGCACCATGAATGTGACACGACAAAATATGTCTCAGCTTTAGCTCATAATAATTGACTCTCATAAACAAATCGTGATATCACCAATTTTTATGTCTTTGATTATATCATTAGTTCACTAATCCAGTTGATTATCATGTTCCCCTTTTTTCAAATAAATAAACCTCTTCTTTGACATTGAAATTCATGTATATCATCATATAACCTACCATTTGGTGGCCTTCAATTTCACACTTTTTCTGATTCATTGCCAGAAACTTCAATGGGGCAGAGCATAGAACGAAATCATTTCAAGTCTATGTGTTTATTTCCCAATCGTCAATGCTACAAAGGACCTTCTTCCTATGCATATCGATAAATCTATGCATGTGGATTTTATTTTCCCGTAAGTTACGCATTTAACAACCATTGAAATTACGAGGCCATTGATTGATTAGTACTTAGGAATCAACTTTTCTAATTCTGATGGTGAGTCTGTTTTGTTCCAAAATCCAAGCACATATCAACCTGTAAAAAATTTCAAAGAATTTATAAATTTATACAAGGATTTTTAAAAAATTATTTAATAGTTAGTGAAATTATTATAAAATATATTTTACTAAAACTTACGAGTATTTTTTTTTCAAATAAATTTTATTTAATAAAAACATGTTAAAAAAATTATTTGATTAAATAAGAAATAACATTTGAGCCCAAGTATTGATTCACTTAATATAGTTTTAATCATAGCTTTAACATTTGAAATTTAAAATAATTATATTTTGGTTTCCAATATGAAAAAAATATATATAAATACTAAATGTGAGAGTATATTTAGTATCTAGTAACTAAAAAATATTTACAGAAGACAATTATAGTGTGACATATGGCAATTGTCATGATCTTGCTTTTAATTTAATGGAGTAGCATGTATTTGTTGACTCCAACTTTTGAAAAGAGAGGATTAAAAGGAAATAAAATGGAAGAAGATGGGAAGGAAGAAGAGAGTAGAGATAAGTATAATCTCAACAAAAAGCATCTACATGCGTGTTATCCATTTTGCCTTTGCCTTTGATTTCAAAACTTTTAATCATTTTGTTCTAAGCAAGTTTGAGGGGGATTTTTCATCCTAATCTAACTCTGCACCATTTCAGACAAATATATTAAGTAATAGTAACTTGTGCATCATTATTGTCTTTATAATAATCATCAAATGTCTCTTCAATTAATAATGATAATATTAACAACCAAATGTAAACCATTTTTAACACGAGAGGACACGTACACATAATTGAAAAAATAATAAATCATAGAAATAGATGAAAATGTTATCTGGGAAAAGGGATTATAAGAAAGAAAACGCTATGATGAAAGGTTAATTATTTTAAGTAATTTTTTTAAAATATTTTAGAATTTCATGATGCGTGGCCTTAGGGTTTATGGTGAAGCTTGTTCCGTTATTTTCCCCCATTTAGGTTTTGAGGAACTTATCTTGTCACAATCTCATTATTGAGAATGGACTAATTGTGGCGGAAATGCCACGGTGAGTAGTGATTAGATGAGCCCGGAGCCATGCCGGTGGACCACATTCTTGTGATATTCAACACATTTCTAATTCAACTACTAATTTATCATCCAACTATTTCATTCTCTGAATCACATTCTTCAATTCTCTTTTTCCTGCAATATCAGCCATGGTTACAATTTCTTGTTTTGTACACAAGAGATTGTGAAATATTCTCATCATGGCCATACCATTTGTGTGAAAGCAAGTTTCCTAATATTTCAAAAATTATGTTAATATTTGTTCAAAAATAATTTTGCTAAATATTAATTTGGACTATCACAAGTTAAACTTTTAGGTTTGGTTATAGTTTTTGTTCTTTAAATTTTGGAATTATCTTGATTTTTGTATCATAAACTGAAAAAATATTTTAATTTCTACATTGTAAAAAAAATGTATTTAAATTTTTTACAAGTGCACATGTACAGTGACAGTGTTGATAAAAATATGACATAACACCAAATATTAGGTGCTATTTGAGACCTTAATATCATCGTCATTCACCACCCATCAATGTTGTTGGTCTCAAGGAAGTAAAAAATTCTGAAATTGTTGGAAATAAAAAAAATTTAATTTAAAATATTGAAATAGATTTATCTCAAAAATTGAACATTAAAACATAGTTAAATAATTTTTTAATTATTTAGGATAAAGTATGATTTTTTTCTCCTCTAAAATATTGTCAATTTACTTTTAATCCTTAGAAAAAGTCAGTGTTTTTTTGTTTTTACAAAAATTTAAATGTGTCAAATTTCTATGAAATTTCATTAAGATTAAATTTATTTTTATTCTGAAATATAAGTATTTCATTTTTTTCCCTAAAAATATTCTGTTCATTATTTATTTTATAAAACTAAGTTGGTTTGAGTTAATAATTTTATTGAAATAATATCATATATGATAATTGATTTTATATATTATATATATAATTATTTATTATTTTAATAGTTTATGTTATTTATTAGTATAAGTAAAAATATAGACCAAATTTGACATAGTGAAAATCGTCCTACTAGTTTGTCGACGAATGAATATCATGCCGGTCAATATTTTTTTATTAAATTAAATTTATTAAAATAAAAATAAAAAATAATTTATAATTTAAATAATTATAATAATTAGTGTTGATGGTCCAAAAGATTAAAATACGATATGATATTATATAATATAAATTATGAATAACTATAATTTAAATTTAAATTATTTATTATAATTTTATATTTAAATATAATATTTATTTTACTTTTTTAAAATAAAAATATTAATTAATCAATACAAACTTAGAAAATATTTATATAATTATTTTTTTAAAGTTACTTAAAAATATATAAAATTTGGTTTTAACAAAAGATAAAAATAGAAATGTCAGCTAACTAACTATTTTGTAGAAACACAAATTAAGATATACCGTTTATGTAACTATTTTTTAACAAGAAAAATTAAGATATATAATTTATTTTACCAGGCGGATTTTCCTTAGTGGTAGGGGTCATGATATTATATTATTTATTTATATATTTATAATTTTAATTTTCTTAATTTTTTGAAATATTTAAATTTTATGATAATTAAAATAAAATATCATATATAATTCTGATTTTATTTTAATTTTAAATGTATTAAGTAGAAAGTTGAAAACAAATTTTATATTATTTTATCTTTTTTTTCATATAATGAGATTCAATAGTTATAATTGTATATTTATTTATTATTTAACTATTTTAAAATTATTTATCAAAATTCGTCATTACATCTGATTATGACAGATAAATATTTTTTTATCTGATTTTATCATCTACTTATCCGTCGATGAAATATATTAAGATATAATTTTATTTTATTTTGAAATTTCATTATGAATAAAATTGAGCAAGAACTTTTCTTTTTTAATTTATGAAGATATTAGTGCGCGATTGATTACTTGGAAGAACTTGAGTAACTTTAACGATATTGCGTAGATTTAGAACTGCTGTTTTTATATAAAGATGAAGTCCTTATATTTTCAAAATTTGTTTATTGGAATCTTTCAATTGGACCAATGACTTCCCTATCAATTTTATAAATAACTTTCCCTTTAATTTCGAGGGAGAAAAAAATGAATTACTTAGAGGGATTAACAGTAGTTATTTCATAGAAGTAACAGGCCATGACACAGCATATAGATGTAAATGGTGTGGTTAGAAGGAAAGGTTGGGTGTATTTGGCGACCTACTTTTGGCGTTTGGGCTCCATGTGAGAGAGGAGTGAGGGTTTCACAGAGAGGCAAGATAGTGTTTTTGTGCGTAGGGAGAAGATGGTGGATGTATAGGCAACACTAGGAAAACACTGGACCCCTGAGCCAAACAATAGGAGAGGAGAATGTGATTGGTGGGTCTGTGGTTGAGCACCCACAAGCCTAACATAGAGACCACCCCAACATGTGAACATTGTCACTCAGCATTGTCAATATTAAGTTACCCCAACCTTCCTCAACAATGCAAACACAGGTGGGCCTGTTGGTGACACAACAATGACAAAACACTCTGCCAAGAAACTTTTATGGCACACGTGACCTCTGTCAGGTGCATGCACACACTGTTATCACACTCCACCAATTGGCCTCCTATACACTGCCTTCAACAATTTCTTTTTTCTTTTTCCCTTCAATTAATATGGTAAAAGAATGCTACTTTTTCCTTCCTTATAACCATTTGCTGATTAGAGAGGGAGCAATGGGTTATGACATTTGAAATGATGTTGGTGATGATAAATTTCCTGTGTTATTCTTTGCCATAGATGGATAGAATGAGTAATTGGAATTCTTCGAAATCGGTTTCTTCTGTCAAGGGTACTTCCTTCCGCCTCATGTTTCTGGATTAGAAGTGACATGTATATGGATACGGCTTCAAATGTTACGCATTTTTAAGGAAGTTTGTTTTGTTTTTAACGTCTTGTCTCCATGTTTCTGGAAAAAGATATGGCAAAAGAAGAGATTCTTTTAAGGATTTACACTTGACACATTATTTGGTGGCTGATAACTGACTGAAAATATTGATTTGATCCTATTACCAACCTTTGTATATATACTTCGATGTCTCATATTTTCTCCAAACTGGTCATTCATTTCCTATGTACATTGATTTCAAAGTACATTGATTTCAAATTTTGGAGTTTATTTTTTCATTGTTAAAAAAAATTAAAAATTATAGTAAAATATTTTTTAAATAGTCACACTTTATTAATCTTGTTATAACTCTAAAGTCATAGTAACAATGATTTTTAATTATTTCACACTATAAACTAAAATTCATTAAACTATAATCATATTAACTCTTCACTCCGTGAGTCCAATATATTATGGATGGATAATTTTTATGTATTGTTTGTTTCATCCCATAATTATATTGAACTTCATTTTATCTTTATACTTATTTTCATTTTTAGCTTTAGAATGTATTTTGAAAAGGTTTTTTGTTAGAAATATATTCCAGAACACTCAATCTGAAATACATTTCCAAAAAGACTTTTCTAAAAATACATTATAGAACACTCAATCTAGCATGTGTTTTTTAAAAGATCAATCTGAAAATATATTTTGAATTTGGTGTTCCAAATTAACTTTTCCAGAAACACATTATGGAACACCTAATCCGGAATATATTTTCAGATTGGTCATTCTCGAAACTATTCAGAAACACTCGATCCGGAATGCATTTTCAAATTGACTTTTCTAGAATTCAACCTCATTTTCGCGACACTATTAGTAATTTGGGTATGCTTATGTAATTTGAGTACAAAAATATGTAATTCATACATAATATTAATGATTATTTACCTTGAATTGTTAGAAAAGACTTTCAATAAACGTGATAGCACAAAAAATCAAATAGCTAAAGAATAAAGGTACAGAAGTGGTACACAAATAGAAGAAGTTAGGATAAAAAACAAAATTATAAAAAGAATATTTTAAATATTTGACTTGAGGTATGAAAATGCAAACAGAAATTATGGAAGGGTAGGAAATAAGAACCATAATGTTTTTTTTATGTGCTATAAGAGTCAATTATTCTGTACCCAAAGCCCAAAAAGAGACCATATTAAATCAAGCACATTCTTCCTGCACCTCCATACTTTCTCTCTGCATCTCCATATGTCAAGTAAAATAACTAAAATACAATAATTTTTGTTTCAAATCCTAATCTTTTCCTCTATTCTCCTCCGAAAATTTTGCACTTCCGTAGATTTGCATATTTGGTTTCTTGTACCCTCACCTCCATTCAAGATCGTTTCTAACACTTAAAAATGAGTAATCGTTAATATTATATATTTATTTTATGCTCTTACACTGAAATTACACATTAAGACATAAATGACTTGATCTGGAACAATTTTGCAAAAATCAGATTGAATTCTTGATCACCTAATTCAGAATATATTTTCAGATTAAAATTTCCAGAGATACATTTAAGAACAACCATTCTGGAATGAATTTCCAAAAAAATCAATTTAAAAATACATTACAGATTCGATGT